GTTCCTAGAGAAGGACATCATGCTTGGTAAAGTAAATGGTCAGTGAAAAAGAAGACCCTCAATGAGATGGACTGACATCATTGACTGCAAAAATGAGCTCAAGCATAACAACGATTGTGAGGGTGGTGCAGGACTGGACAGTGTTTTGTTGTCTTGTACATAGGGTTGCTATGAGTTGCACCAACTTGAGGACACCCAACAACAACAACAACAACAACAACTTGCTCCCATATTATAGCCATGAATTTACTGGACAAGTATTCATTTATTTCTTTAGCTTTCCCTTGCTAAGTGATTTTTGCAGCAAGTTAATTGATGTATCATAAATTGACACTTATTTGCCAGAAAATTCTCTCCCCTTAATCCTTTTTGAAACCTCTGATATGGGTGATAATTAAAAGGGAACACGGCAAAAGTGAATTCTAAGAGGGAGTTGAAAGAGAAGATACACTGAATTTTGGAGCCTGAAAGAAAATTTCTAGTACTAGAATAATCAGGGACAATAAAACAGAGATTTCATGTATTACAATTGAGGAAAAGAAGAAGAAAAGTAGATGGAGGAAAAGATACATTAAGCAATTACTAATCAATGTGAGTGGAGGGGTTCAAACCAGTAAAACACAGTTTTTACTATTTATTTATTGAATGGCTACCATGTGCCTGATACAAGGTATACAAATGGGTCTAACATGGTTTCTGCCCTCATAAAGCTTACACTTTAGACAAGGAGACAAACAATAAACGAGGAAACAAATTAAGAAGGATTACACATTATGGTGAGTGTTGTGAAGGAACAGAGAATAATGGCAGAGAACAATGGCATGTGGGAAGACTCAGAGTCTAAAACTGACTTAGCACATCTGAGTAAGGCCAGGTAGGCAAGAAGACAGCCTTCCATATCATGGTCAAGAGTTTGGATTTTATTATTAGTGTAATAAGAAACCACTGAAGGGCTTTAAGATTAGGAAGAAACGTGAAAAGATTTTTCCACCCTAAGATGACTCCAGATAATTAGACCAAGGGGAGGATTTTAAGTGACAAGGATGCCTCAGACAGCATCCTACACTTTGGCCATATATCTTCAACAGAAAAAAATCCATCCTTTACTCAAATTTAAATCTACCTCTACAATTTAATTTAGATGGAAAAGATCCTATAAGATTTTACATGTATAGATTCAGACAGTTCTTTTTTTCTGCACCTCATCCACTTTCTTCAACTGTGCTGGCAAATAAACCAATGACATGTAGCTTTCTCTCTGCCATCCCTTTTATGTGGCTATTTTTACTGATCTTTCCCAGAAATCTCAGAATTGCTAAACAGTACTATTTCTTTGTAAATGTTAAAATTTAGATTTGTGTAATTAGAGATGTGTTCTGTTTACTTATGGAATATATAACAGGAATAAAAAAATAATCACAAGATTTCTACACAGGGACACCACTGATGTAAGTCCAGTGTATCTGCCTACTTACAAAATGAATTCATCCAGTTGCCAGAAATTCCCTAAAGGTTGTGGCAAAAATGGTTAAAAGGCTTCAAATCCATGGAGAACTCCAAAAGATGTATATTAAAATAAAGAAAATATACCACAAAGGTGAGAATTCTTTTAAAGAAATATGACAACTACATTAAAATGAAACACACATTTTTCTGCAAAAAGGAAATCTAAGAAGATAAAATAGATGCTTTATATAAAATATTTACATAAAATGCACAAAACCCACTACAGTTAGTAACCTTTATGGCTTTGAAGAACCAGATATTTACATATCTTTCTCTCTGCATGTGCGTGTGCGTATGTGTGTTTTGTATATATTTTTAACAGTTGACAGCTGTTTTAGAGCATACAGAGATGCCATGCTGAATGAGGGTCTTGATTACTTCAAGATTAGCTATCTAAAGTTTCTATTCATTTTAAGTGTTGTTAGCTGGAAGAGTCATTAGTCACTTCCTTGTCTCATAGAACATCAGCATACATTTACATTGTTAATGAACATTTGGGGTAAATGAATTAATGGCACTTTTAAACATCAATTCAGTCCTAATAACTTTGTATGTCACAGAAATGTTAGGCTAGGATATAAACGAAAAGCCTTTTCAGTAAAGGTAACTACTCATTCCTGCAAACAATAAAGGATAAAATTAATTTAAAATGTTTTTTAACCAGGTTTAAAAAAAAAGCCTCAATATTTAATGAAATAGACCAGAGAAAAATACACACTTAAGAAAAAAAAAAAAAAACCACACACACACACACAACTATGCTTTAAAATAAGCATATAAGCCAGAAATAGTGTGAAAAATTTTAGTGCAACAATTTTATATATTTGTAACACAAATACATATTCATTTTTAAATTATTCACTTATAGAAGCACCGCTTGAAAAATAATTTCATTTTTTTAATTATGAGTACTTCTTTATAGGCATTATATTTAAGAGGAAAGATCACTATGAAAGGTATTATACTTACAACTGAGTTATTTAAAAAACTGAAATTGAAATGGACACTAATAATTTTTTCAAATTATCAAAACCTTAAACAGCAGCCTAATAACAAATAAGGAGCCCTAGTGGTGCTGTGGATAAAGCACTCAGCTGCTAACCAAAGGGTCCGCAGTTCGAACCCACCAGCTGCTCCATGGAAGAAGGATGTGGCAGTCTGCTTCCTTAAAGATTTACAGCCTCAGAAATCCTATGGGGTAGTTCTACTCTGTCCTTTAGGGTCGCTAAGAGTCAGAATCAACTAACTTGACGGCCATGGGTTTTGTGTTTTTTAAAATAACAAATACAAAATTAAAAAATAAAATAAAATAAATAAATTATAGGACAAATTCTAGTATTATTAATAAAAGTAACAGTGACATTTTATGATCCAGAAGTTTTTCAAGATGCACAAAAAGCATAAACTCTCTCCATATAGCCAAGAGCTTGTATACTAAACAAGTAGCTACTTTAAGTAGGAATCATTTCTTTAAAAAAATTTCCAATTTTTTTTTTAATGGCAAGCCTTGACATCAACATGGATTAAAAAAAATGAAACATACAAAACAAAAGAATTATTTTGACTAATTTATGATTTTCAAAAATAGATCTCACAATCCTGATACATACATTTTATGAATAAAAGACTGTAAGTAGTTGAGGAGTTAATAAACCATCAAATACTTTATGAATCACTTAACAATAAGGCTCCAAGAATTCACACAAGCTCATTGTTTCTTTCTAAGAAACTATGTTACTACTACCATTAAGTGAATATTGAGAAAATAATAGAGTTCTGATACATACAGATTTAAATGTTTTTATAGACTATTTTAGACCCTAAATACAATCTACCTTAACATGAGAAAATTCTATTTTTTAACAATTTAAATATACAGATTTTTAACAGTAGACACAAATTTCAATTATTAAAAAAATAAAAAAAGATCAAGGACCTAAATATAAGCACTAAAACCATAAAGGTTTTAGAAGAAAACATACCCGTAATGCTTTGGGACTAGTTTTTAACAACGGATTCTTAGATATGACAACAAAAGCACCAGCAACAAAAGACAAAATAAATAAACTGGACTTTCACAAAATTAAAAACTTTTGTTCATCAAAAGACTTTATCAACAAAGTAAAGAGACAACCTATAGAATGGGGAAAAAAATTGGGAACCATATATCTGATAATACATCAAGAACTCCTACAACAAGAAAAACACAAACAACCCAATCAAAATATAGTCAAAAACTTGAACAGACATTTCACCAAAGGGTAAAAACAACCAAATGACCTACAAACACACGAAAAGATGCTCAATGTTGTTAGTCACAGGAAATGCAAATCAAAATGAGATATCACCTCATACCCACTCACATGGCTTTGATAAAACAAAAAACAATATGCTTTGGCGAGGATATGGAAAAACTGGAACCCTCAACCATTGCTGGTGGGACTATAAAATGGTACAGCCACTATGGAAAAACACTTTGGCAGATCCTCAAAAAGTTACACATATTGTATGATTCTGGCAATTTCACTCCTAAGTATATACCCAAAAGAACTGAAAGCATGGACACAAACATATACTTGTATACCAATGTTCACTGCAGCACTATTCACAATAGCAAAAAGGTGAAAAGAGTCTAAATGTTCATCAACAGATCAATGAAAAATCGCAATGTGGTATGTACATACAATAGCATATTACTCAGCCATAAAAAGAAATGAAGCCCTGACACATGCTACAATATGAATGAACCTTGAAAACACTATACGCTGAGTGAAATAAGTCAGTTACAAAAGGACAAATGTATGATCCCACTTACATGAAACATCTAGAATAGGCAAGTGTGTAAGAGACCAAAGTTTATTAGTGGTTAGCAGGGGTGGGAGGGACGGAGGGAGGGGAAAGGGGGACTCATTGCTTTCAGGACACAGAGCTGTAAAAGGTGATAGAAAAATTTGGAAACAGATAATGGTAACAGTTGAAAAACACAATAAACTAATTCATGTTACTGAATGGCACATGCAAAAAATGATGAAATAGCAAATGTTTTGTTACATACATATTTAGCAAAATTTTTTTTAAAAAGAGAGAATCAGGCAAGTCTTTTATCCTAGAATAATCTCAACTTGGGGTGGCGGGGCGAGTTATCCCCACAAAATCAACACCAAAAACTTAAGGCTTCTTTACAAGATACTTTGACAGAGGCCATTCTACATTTCAATATTCCTATAATGAAGTCATTGTTTGGTTTATGATTTTTTAAAAAGAATGACAGTGCTTTAAACATCTGGCCAATGTTTCTGCCTATAACTGAAAGTGGACTTGTTGCGGGATTCATTAGTGTCAGAATGCTCTACACACATGGGGAAATGTTCTTAAAGCTGCCCTTCTCTGCCTACTGGAGAAAATTCCACACATGAAGCAGGCAGAGGCCAACGAGAGCCCCACTCTGCTAGCTTTGCCGGTACCACCAGAAAGAACCTATGTACAAAACTCACCTCCAGACTTGCTGGAATAACTGGACAAGGGGTCAATACCCACTTCTTGTTCTTCTGGCTGCAGAGGATGTCTAGTTTCAGACAAGGAATGATACATTGTTGGTACTGGCCAAAGTCTCCAAAAGTGACTATCTGGGAAGTAAAAAAAATAGAGAGAAAATAATAAATTTTTTTTTCTGTATTTACTGGGAATACAAGACTGAAATGATTAAATGAGCATGACAGACATTAACAAGTTTCCACAGGTTTCCACTGGTAGGAGAAAGCAAAGACGTGAAAAAGGCGACACAAAATTTCCATTTAACCAATTTCTTCAAAAATTTGAACTTTATTTATAACCTTTTACCTCTATGTTGAATCACATTTATTTTCAGTAAACTATGGCACAAAAAGCTGAACTGTAAGTTAAATTATTCTCACATTTATAACATCCTTTTGTTTTACTGTCAAAGTAATACATGTTCCCAACAGAAGCTTTCAAGACATAGAAAATATAGCATATTAAATCACTCATATTTGTATTAGTTAAAAATATCACTGTTAACTTTTCAGTTTATTACACATATCCTTTCCTGTCTTTGTTCTATTTACTTAAATTACATATATTTTTAATGTGATCCATCATGCTAAACATAACTGATTTTGTAATCTAACTTATCTCATGAGTATTTTCCTTCCCAGTTGAAAAGATTGTGTCTCTATTATCATTTCAGTGATTCCTAGGATTTCACTGTATAGCTAGCTGTGACAATTTAGGTATCCAAGTGCAGAGCCCTTGTGGCACAGTGGTTAAAAGTGTTCAGCTGCTAACCCAAAAGGTCAGCGTTCTAACCCACCAGCTGCTCCGCGGGAGAAAGATGTGGCAGTTTGCTTCTGTAAAGACTTACAGCCTTGAAAACTCTATGGGGCATTTCTGCTCTGTCCTATAGGGTCACTACAAGTCGGAACCGACTCCACAGCAAGGGGTCTGGTTGTTGGTTTTTTTTTTTCTATCTAATCCAGGTTTGTTTTTTTATTTGACACTCAGGATAAATTTTTGGAAGTGTAATCGCTGGACCAAAATATATACTGAAGAAAAAATAAGGTTTTTTAATAATGTTTAGGCAAACTGTGCTTTAGAAAGATTTTTACGTAACAGAATGATTCATCTCCCCTGGACCCTCACTGACCATGGGTATTGCCTTTTTAGGGGGCAAGGGGAGGAGGCAACGCAACAGTCAAATTTTATATTGCATTTGCTTGGCAACTAGTCGGATTACTGAACACATTATATGCTTCTCTGACATTTGTTTATTGTCTTTTGTGAATGAAGTTTATTAGTATGATTGTCTTCATGATTTAGAAGCATGCTTTAAATATTAAAAATACTAAACCTTTGTCATATGATACATGTATTTTTCTCAGAGTGTGTTTGCCTTCCAATTTTATGGTATTTTTGTGATGTAAGTAACTTTTTCATTTTTATTCAATCATATCTATTTGTATCTCCTTTATGGTTTATGGTTTCTGCCTCTGGTGTTATGTTTCTAAAGGCAAGATCATATAAATATTCACCTATATTTTATACATTGAAGGTTTTCTCAATTCTCATTTCTATAAATTATTCCAACTTAAACAAAAATTTAAGAAAATTAAATTATTTTGAACTTCTGAAGTACACTAACTACTTATAAATTTTGTCTGTAAGATATAAATTACCCTTCCCAATCAGAATCCTTCCAAAAAATTAACTAGGTTCCCCAATTTTCATCCAAAACAAAATAAGTAACAATCTTCTGTTGTACTTAGGGTTGCTATGAGTCAGAACTGACTCCATGGCACCTACCAACAACAACAACATAATCTTTTAAACTTCAGGAGCAGAGGAGTCATGAGAAGAGGAAGAAAGAAAGAAAGATAAGTGGGAAAAACAATCTAATCAAGATGAGTAAGTACTTTTATAGGATACAGTCTCCACCTGTTGAGAAAAGGTTCAAGAGAAGCCCGTGAGCATACAAAACTTAACCACCTTCTCCCAACACAAAATGCTCATGTTTTCTGTTCATTTTCTCTCTTAAACCCTTACATTGTAAAATACTCTTACACTTTTTCTAATTTTTATCAGAACCTTCCAACCCACACCCACACCGCACCGCCCCCCGCCCCCTGCACACAGTCAAATGTTAATTAGTCTCTACCAGTTGCCACGGAGTTGATTCAGAACCATGGCCACCCAATGTGTGTCAGAACAGAACTGTGCTCTAAAGGGTTTTCAATGGCTGATTTTTTTTTTTTTTAAATTGTGCTTTAGGTGAACGTTTACAGTTCAAGTTAGTATCTTATACAAATATTTATACACACATTATGTGACCCTAGTTGCTCTCCCTATAATGTGACAGCACACTCCTTTCCACAGATTTTCAGTGTCCATAATACCAACTCCTGCCCCTTTTTGCCTTCTCATCTCACCTCTGGACAGGAGCTGCCCATTTAGTCTCATGTTATCTACCTGAGCTAAGAAGCACTCTCTTCACTAGTACTTTATGGCCCACAGTCCAGTCTAATCTTTGTCTGAAGAGTTGACTTTGGGAAACGTTTCAGTTCTGAGCTAACAGAAAGTCCAGGGGCCATGTTTTCCCTCCAGTCTCAGTCAGATCATTAAGTCTGGTCTTTTTACTAGAATTTGAGTTCTGCACCCTACTTTTCTCCTGCTCCATCAGGACTCTCTGTTGTATTCCCTCTCAGGGCAGTCATTGGTGGTAGCCAGGTACGATCTAGTTCTTCTGGTCTCAGGCTGACGGAGTTTCTGGTTTATGTGGCCCTTTCTGTCTCTTGGGCTAATATTTTCCTTGTGTCTTTGGTGTTCTTCATTCTCCTTTACTCCAGGTGGGTTGGGACCAACTGATGCATCTTAGATGGTCGCTCACTAGCTTTTAAGACCTCAGACGCCACTTGCCAAAATGGGATGCAGAACATTTTCTTAATAAACTTGTTATGCCAATTGACCTAGATGTGCATGGACTCCTTAACTATTTAACTATTCCCTACACATTTCCTAATCTTTCTGTAAATAAGGAAGGTATCCTCTTAGGATTGTGGCTAAGACAGCAGAAGCAGTTGTTGTTGTGTGCCATCGGGTCGATTCTGACTCATAGTGGCCCTACAGGACAGAACAAAACTGCCCCATAGAGTTTCCTGCGCTGTAATTTTTACAGGAGGAGATTGCCAGATCTTTTTTCCTGTGGAGACACTGGTTCGGTTTGAACTTCTGACCTTTCAGTTAGCAGCCAAGCGCTTAACTATTGTGCCTCCAGAACTCCTTAACAGAAGCAGAGCCTTAGGCAAAAGCGACACTACAAAAGGAGAAAACTATTCCTGTCAACATACAGTAAGAAGTTCTAAAGTCATAGAGCTTAAATCCATCAAACCAGACAGTTGTCAATATTTAAACATATACTGAGCATTTGAGGAGCCCTGGTGGTGCAGTGGTTAAAGTGCTTGACTGGTAACCAAAACGTTGGCAGTTTGAACCCACCAGTCACTTCATGGGAGAAAGATGTGGCAGTCTGCTTCCGTAAAAGATCTACAGCCTTGGAAACCCTATGGGGCAGGTTCTACTCTGTCCTAAAGGGTGGCTATGAGTCAGAATCAGCTCAACGGCAGTGGGTTTGGTTTTGGTTTGTTGAGCATTTACTATATAAAAGGAACTCTGGGGAATATGATCCAGTAGAAGATAGCAAAATGTAGATGATCACTTGTAATATAAAATACAATCTGATAAATTCTGTTGAACAAATGAACGACAAATTAAGAAATAAAGTTCTGTACTATTAAGCAGTAAGGATCATCAATCGGGTCAGGAAAAAGTATTATTATGGTTAACATTTATTAATCATTGAATATATGTCAAAAACCATTCTAAATGCTTCACATATACCCATCATTTCATCCTCCCAACAGCCCTATGAGGAATCTTCATCACTGTTATTTTCATTTTACCAAAGAGAAAACTGAGGAACACAAAGATCAAGTAACTTGCCTAGAGCTGCACAATTAGAAGTGGGGATGCCAGAATTGAAACTATCCTGCCTGGCTCCAGAGCTCATGTTCTTTATTCCCACACTACCTTTGGCTTTCAGTGAGTCAATGAGAGAAACGGACCAGATCTAAAATAAGGCGGGGGGGGGGATTAGGAGTGTGGCGGTCTGTGAATAATTGGAACACTGTTTACTTGGTTTTAACTTTTCAAGATATGCTAGAAATCTGGGATTTTATGGGAAATCTCCTTACTTGTAAGTGTTGACAAATCATATTAAAGCAAATGAACAAGAAAACTGTGTGGGAAGCATTAAATACATTTCAAAACTGCCGTTGGCCCATGGGCAATTATTTTAATGTAAGATTCTCTTTATAATGCATATCACCTACACATTTTGTTATACTCTTAAATTATGAAGAGATCAAACATTTGAAAATGTTTATTCCAAGTTAACGACTAGATTTCCTTAACATCCACTATATCATGTTTTCATAATCTCACTACTGTCATTTCTTATTCTTACAGTATACCTCCACTGTTACAGGTTTCAAACACCTAACAGATACAAAGTTTTTTTATATACGTTACGAGAAGTAGAGAAGTGACAAGCAAACTGGTATAAAAGTTTACTTTAAAAAGGAAAATAAAAAAAAATCCTTGTCTTTCTACCGCTAAAATAAAATACTCTCCAACATAATGAAGTTCACATACTCATCCAAGATGCTAAAAGATACGTACAGTCTTTTTGACTTACTAGAAAAAGTTCAGGAAGTCATTCAGTAAAATTAGCTTTCATTATAATTTTTTAGAAATTGACAATACAAGTCCATAGTAACACCCCATAACTAGAATACAAAATTAGCCAAATAATAAACAAACAAACAAAAAAAGAAAAAAATTCATTGCTGTCGAGTTGATTCCAACTTATTCAATCAGGAGGCCATATATTTTTATTCTTCGTTTAGGTATATAGATTTAAAAGATTCACTTAAATGTTTTTATAATTCAATTTTTAAAAACATTATAACTAGTAATGACAAGTTATTTTCAAGAAAACTGTTGAAGAAAATGTTTGAATAATATTCTTATTTTCCTTTAATTATGGATTTAAGTG